AGATATTAACTAACCAGTCTAAGTAGCAAATATTTAATTGCTGTGCATGTTAAAAGTGTTATAGTGCTTATAACACTATTATATTTACTAAAGGTTCATTAAGGATGGCATTTCAGTTTATGAGAGACTGGCAGGATTATGTGTACATGTATAGGGATGTATGTGTACACATATCTTATTATTTACTATACCTATGGGAAATTTAAAATGGACACATATTCAAATTGGTTTGCATATAGAAATTCCAAAATACCTTCTATATTTAACTCCTCCCAGCTCCACTTCAGGAAGAAATGGAAACGCAAAGGAACAAGAACTATGTGGTACATTCCAGAATACAGCTTTTGTACACTACACAGAACATACCTCTTGTACAAGTCGGTTGATTTTCAGTTGTTTTTCTCTTTCCAACTTTTCTTCTTTTTCCTTGAGAAGCTTTAGCTCAAACTCCAGTTGCATTTTGCTCTTTTTCTGTTCACTGAGACTGTCACTTGTGGATTTCTTTCTTTCTTTACCTTTCTGTGTAGTTTGTATTATTATCAAGCATATAAATATATACATATTCAGAAAATATATACCTTACTGGGATTGACACTGGAAAACTGAGATTAACTGTCACTACAAATACATGAACATTTTTTGAGAAAACTGGGATGTATTGTATCCAAGCACACAGTGTTTGCTTTGGCAGGACATAAAAATAAACAATCTCAGCATGAATTTAATTTTAATTAAAATTAATTGGGAAGGTCAGAATCATCAGAGCTGTACACAGCTCATAAATAAGTCACTGTGCGGGGTCTACATCCACTCTGTTCTTGACCTGTCTCTGACCAATCCAAATTAAGAGCGATTCTGATCCACTAGTTTCCAACAGTGAAAAAAACATAGTTTAATTCTTGTTTAGCCTCATCAATTGTTTATTTGTGTACCATACTTCATACTGGGTCCTTCCCAGAGACAGCAATTACGTATCAGAAGTTTCACAACGTTTTGTCATAGCTTGTGGATGGTTAACTGAAAACCACAGCACCATGAAATATTACCACTCACTCTACAAATGTTAATACACAGTTAGATTACGTCTTTTAGGTATGGATGTTCACATACTTAGTAACAACAATTCTATTGTGCAAGAAACAAATTCAGTATTTCACAGATCCAATGCAACAACACTGCCAAATCACACAGCAATCAACTGCAAAGAAAACAACAATCCTCAGATTACTGAAGAAAACCAAACTGCTTCATTGGAATTTTATTAAGCTGCTTAAATGTTAGTGTTTGAAAAGGCGGATGGGTGTTAGTAGAAGTAGAACAGTTTATGTTCCTAATCTGGAATCCATTACTACACAAATGCATACAATTCTAAAGGTAAAACATGTTTGTCCTTGATTTACAATATAAGCAAAAGCTTCCATTAAACTATCAAATTAAGATGAAGAAGTCTGCCCTCTTTGTCACACAAAGGGCTCACAGATCCGGTTGTCGATATTGGCAATTGCAAGAAAACAAGTGAAAGGCCTCATGGTTGCAGCTTAAGGAAAGTCCAAGACTAAGGAAAACAAGGAAGTGCTAGAGTGATGGGAAAGGTAGTTCCTTTTAATAATAAAGTCCTTTAGTGAATCCATTTGACTAGGCACACTGAAGGAAGAGCCTGGAGCTTATAAGCTTATAATAGAGCTTATCCACCCACACTATTAGAGAAAAAAGTTCAAAAAGGATTGTGTTTGCTATATTAAATGCTGCAATAAATGTTTTGGCTTTTGCAAAAAGAAAACTAATTAATCTTTTATAGTGACAGAGAAATCTAAAAATGAATTCTGTTTGCATACTTGCATTTTCTGGGTGTTACCATATGGTAAACATAACATTGCAATAACCGCTCAGCACTAATTTAGGGCAGGATATGATTGAGCCTTTCAGTTGGTGTGTTGTTGCTCCAGCACACAGCATCTGTTGAGTTGGTTAAGGATGGAAATCTATGTCACTTTTGAAAACAAGAGGCTACATCTGCAACCACAAGACTGTTTATATGGAAGTAAGGATTACAAAAGTCTGTAGGACTCAATTTTGGCTAAACATGTTTTGGGCAGAATTGTACATGTTGGTAACTTGGTTTGCAGAGTATGAGATATTAACAGCCACATAAGTATATAACCTCATCATATTATATCAGTACAACTGTTCATACTGTAAAGCATTTAAGTGCTTAGTTTTTTATTATTTCTATTCTTGATAGTGAGCAATTTTCCACTGAAGTGGATACCAGCTTCAAGAAATGGGTTTCCATCCAGACTTCATCAGGAGAAGAAAAGGTTAAATCCACCTCTCCATGTCTGCTTCATGTCCTGTGTGTCCAGTTGATGTAATTTGCATTTTAAACATTTGTTTATTAAATACAAAGAGGCATTTGCTATTATATCTACTTTGGCTGTAAAAGTCTCTGTTATTTGTTCTTGAAATAACAAAACTTAGAGGCCTTTTATAAAGTCAGAGTTGATTGAAGGATAAACATGGAAATTAAATGCAGAAGAACCTTTTATAGTTATTCACTGGTAACCAATTGAATAGGTAGGTTAAGTTTTTCTAGAGTGGGCATGAGGATTACAATGGGAAGGGAGAAACTGGCAGACACGGTTGGGGAGGGGGAACTATGCATAAGAAAAATGCATTTCCACTTATGTAAGGCACCTTTGGTTCTAAGTCTTTTTAACATAAACAAGCTCTTCCTTCATTATAGACTTATCAAGAAATACGTGTGGATGAACATATCAGATCAGAAGACAGTTGCCACACCAAACTTTCTCTAGGCTTTATAACACTCAACATTCCTTGTACCTTGCGAATTGTGGGAAATTTTCCTTCATACCGATAGAACCATCCAAAAGCTATAAACATGCAAAGCAGAAATACAATGCTTAACAGATATATGCATCAGAAGAGTTCTATATGTAACAGGCACAATGTTGTTTAAAAGAGGGGTGATGGTGGGGAAACACTGCAGGAGGATTAGGTATTGTATATAATAAAGTATATTCGTAACACTTTTGTCTCAACTTTGAACCAGCGACGGGTTACAGGTATATGATAGATATATAACAGGTAAATGAGGCTTCCCATTTGCAGTTTCATCACTGTTATCAGGAGGGAGGACAGCTTTTCATTTGATGCACAGGAAATCACACACACCAAGATTTCCTTGTTCCAAATGTTCATGGACTGCTAAACTGAAGCAGAAATCCAGGGGGCACTTCCATGTGAATGACTTCTAATACTATCTATCAATAGACCCATTCCATCTTTACTTCTTTAATACATTACGTGGTAAGAAAAGAAATGGAAGAAATTGTGCAAAAATGTGTGAAGATTTCAAATGGAAGATGTCAATCGATCTCCTGGCACAAATTCATGAAAAAGGCAGGGCAACTGCACAATAAAAGTCTTCTCTGAAAGCACCTCAGCACTAACTTTTGACTCGTTCCAAACTAAGCAACCTCTGTAAACAGAAGCAATTCGACTGTAATGTTTCAACACAACTTTTTGACTACAACATTCAAAGTATTTTCTTAAATTCAAGATATGCTAGCAGTGCATCCTCTGATACAACATACTACTGCCCATTCTCTAACCTTTCTGAAGACTTTTTTTCCCGTGAAACCCTAACTCTATCCCTGATTTTTATTAAGCATTGTGAACCCGCAACGTTCCTCCTTCTTTCATCTGCTCCTATTGCCTGAGTGGTTTGCATAATGTTTGGAAATAAAGAGAAAACATTTTAGATGTAACGAATGAATAAAGCCATTATATGGTAATGTCCCAAATGAATTCTTTCAGTTATTCCCAACATTATGCAATAGGGTCCTGGGAACCAAATGATGTGATGTGTTTCCTTGTTTGCAGCTTGGGGACCAACAAACAATTGAATAACTGGCCTTGTGTGGTTTCATTTTAAAATCTGTTTTAATTTTGGTTTTTGAGATTTTTCATGGAACCCCTACGAGGCTTTTGTGGAACTCTAGGGTTCTGCAGAACACAATTTGGGAGTTGCTGGTGTATAGGACAAAGGATAAATGCAAAATTTACTTCCTCCTCTCTTGGGCATCTGAGCAACCGACATCCAAAACCGCTAATAAAGAATTAGTTCAACAAAGCAATCATTTTTACATCTTTTGTTTTGTGGATTACATGCTGAAATACTGTAGTAGGGGAATGGACATTGAGCATGAAAGTAACTGGTTAATTGAGAAGTGCCTTGGTTCCATCCTGGTTCCTCATAGCATGACTTGAGCCATTGTCTGCGCACTGTTCTAGTTTCCAGCGTGATGAAACTGGACCCCATTTTAAAATCTGTTTTAATTTTGGTTTTTGAGATTTTTCATGGAACCCCTACGAGGCTTTTGTGGAACTCTAGGGTTCTGCAGAACACAATTTGGGAGTTGCTGGTGTATAGGACAAAGGATAAATGCAAAATTTACTTCCTCCTCTCTTGGGCATCTGAGCAACCGACATCCAAAACCGCTAATAAAGAATTAGTTCAACAAAGCAATCATTTTTACATCTTTTGTTTTGTGGATTACATGCTGAAATACTGTAGTAGGGGAATGGACATTGAGCATGAAAGTAACTGGTTAATTGAGAAGTGCCTTGGTTCCATCCTGGTTCCTCATAGCATGACTTGAGCCATTGTCTGCGCACTGTTCTAGTTTCCAGCGTGATGAAACTGGACCCATAAAACCCATAAAACATCAGCTGGGCTAATCCACTACGTTTTTCTGTTGTGCCCAGAAATCATACAAGGTATTTCCTCCTAGCACTGTAACTATACTTGTGTCTGAAACAGCAGATGAATGAAGAGTGCTCCAAATAAGAGAATTATGGAATCATTATGGGATAATGAAGAAGAGTAGCCCAGTTCAGCATTAAGACTGACTGTCAGGAGGAAGAGCAGTGCAGGAAGTATCAAAGTCAAGGTAGGAAGCCAAGGGGTTACAGCAAACCTGTTGACTCTCTTTCAGCTTCATTCCAATCACATCATCTGCTGCAGGCTGGTCAAGTGCAGTTTCATCTAAATCTACTAAGGAAACAACAGAGGAAAGAAACAAAGGAAGAAGAAATGATAATACTTCGGTTTACCCTTCCTCATGGAAAGAAAATGTACTCTGCTCTCTTTTTGAGGAGACTCGTTGGTGCCAACATACATTTTCGTTACTAGTCTTAGCTCTATGGTGGGAGACATTTCTATGCTCTTAGCTCTATGGTGGGAGACATTTTTAAGGGAAAGCTCTATGGTGGGAGACATTTTTTTAGGGAAAGCTCTATGGTGGGAGACATTTTAAGGGAAAGCTCTATGGTGGGAGACATTTTTAGGGAAAGCCCTATGGTGGGAGACATTTTTAAGGGAAAAGCATGATACATGGGTTTGAGCAGCACAATTACCACAACATCTGTCCTCTCCTCAGTTTGCACATTCAAAATGTTGGCCAGCACGTACTGCGATTCACCATGGCTAAAACAAGACACATGCAGTGATCGTGCAAATCGGATAATTAGATGTAATTCTCTGTATAGGCTAATAAATTATTCACTGGAGGCATATACCGCTTGTGTCCCACCCCCTCAAAAAAGAGAAAAAGGTAAACTTCCTATTTTCTCTGTGAAACTAACTTTCTTACTACATTATTTTATTTGGGGGAAAAGGTAAAACAAAAAAATTACTAATTTGTTGGTGGATGTGTAGATATGCTATAAGGTGATACTTGATATCCATGTTAAAGCATTTTTATGTTATAATTGTTAATTTTAATTATCTATTACTCAGTTTAAGTAAGTTAAAATTGTAGTCATAAATTTGGTAGAAGTAATAATAATTATTGGCTTTTTGTGAAATTTCCTGCATTTAGTATTATATGTAATATTTGTGTAAGGTCTCATGGTATCTTTTTCTTTGGTATTTATAGAAATAAATAAAGAAAAAAAGAACTGTCTTTATTACATTTAGTTGTACCCTGAAATTTATTAAAACTAATTCCATAATAGCATTCATCCGTATTTGTGATTTTCATTTGTCTCAATGTATGCATTATAATTTATGTTTTGTACACTTCTTTACCATTAACTTTTGAATATATTTTAATTATTTTTTATTTCTTATCTTTTTAATAAGAAGTAAATGCCGCTGAATTAAAGTTTACGCCTACGTGAGTGCATATAGATTTTAAGTTTTAATGCATATCCATTAAATCCAGGTTTAATATTACCTGATCAAAAGCCATTTAATTGATAAAATATACAGCTTTAATAATGTATACATTTGATTTTTTTCTTTAAAATGTCATTTTATTCTGCTTTGGCTGAACAGCTACGTTGGGCTTGGTGGGTAACAGTTGTGCAGTTTGTCTACTGTAAGCATATCAAAAGCAGATGCAGGTTCCTCCTTTTTTATTTCTTTTTCCCTCTGTTTGCATCTTTCCTAGAATTTAAGATGGATAGCAGTAACATAATAACAGCTGAAGAGAAGGCGGAAAGGAGCTGCAGTAAAGCCACACCTCTGCATTATCCCACTGCACCGTTACAAACTTTCAAACCAGTCTTTATCTGCATTATCTAAAAAGCAATGGGAAGACTGGGGCTATTGCCCCCTTGTATGCTGTGATCTTTCAATCTGAAATGCCCCTGAATGTGTGCAGATCACTCCCTTGTTCTCTCTAACCCTGGTCCACCACCTGGCCTTCAGCGATGCTACACCGCTGTTAGAGACTACAGTGTACGGTAGTTGCAGAAGCAAAATCTCCTTATAAAGGTTATGTTAAACACCCACCTAATATGTTGAGCAAAGCTGGCATTGGAGGAGTTACAGGGGATTCATGTAACAGAGCAAGCTGATTGCAAACACACGTGCCTGGAAGCTAACTGTTCAGCAATCAGTTCAGCTCTTCATGCATGGTGCAGCTCCATCATCTGACATTCCATTCCTGGAAAAAGCTTTTGCAGTGTCAGAATAACCTGAACTCCAGTGCCATCCCTTCACTACCCTAGCTGTCACACCACAGCAGCTAATGTAACAACACGCTCGCATTGCCGCAGTATAGATTTTGTAAACCTATTTATTGTTTGGAAGGGATTAGGAGGGGGAACAGAACAGTTTCTTCCTCAGTTCATCATTACCTCCCTTCTTGGAGAGAGCTCTTTGGAATCTGCAGCATTTAATCAAAGTAATAGAAAGAAGGGACATTTAAAAAATCACTGACTGCATCAGTGACTCATAGCCACACTTCAAAGGCATTAGCTTCTCTGCAGAGAGATGTTTTGAGAGACCCACCACACCAGACTGACGCACATTCTAACAGTGTCCATGATGAAACCTGTTACTTACTTCGATGTTTAGGAGGAGGAGGGGGATGCACTTCTGCAACAACAGTCTGAGATGGTTTTGGTGGCTCTTTATGGCCCCAGTCTTCTTCCCATTGCTTTTTAAATTTCTCTTCCTCTGCCTTTATCCTGGGAAAGAGCAAAACACATTTATCTGGTCAGCATGGTCTGAAGGTACCTGCTAGGAAATTAACACATCTTTCTTTGGCGGGGACGCCTTGCCTCAAATTGCACTCTTTCCTTGATAAGAAAAGGTTGCTGCCAAGGAAAGCTTTTTAAGAAAGTCCAACTGCTGCACTTGGTGAACAGTGCTAGGAGAGGCTGCACGGGAGGCAACCCTATTGCAAGGCCCACTTCTGGATGCAGGAAGGGAGGATGTATGGCAGCACTGTCCTCTGCAAGCGCATCCTGCCATGCCAGGGTGAAGGGTTCTGGCTTAGACCTGATGTTGAAGGGAGAGAAGATGGCTCCAGAGAAGCTGGCTCGGGATGCAAATATTCTTTGTGCATGAGCCACAGCAGATGATTCTCCTGCTGTGCTTCCTGCATGACTCAGGGAAGCCCCTGTATGTGCAAGTGGGAGAGGAGAGGGGGTAGAATCAGTCAGGTTGGAGGTGATGCTACTCTGCCAATCCCTTTTCTGGCCCTCATGCACACAGCAAGACTCAGCTGGACAGCAGTGCTTGGGTGGGGACAGCACCTCCAGCTGAGTCTCCTGTTCATTCTCCTTTCTCGCCCCTGCTTGCAAGAGAAGCATTCCCAAACTGGCAGCCACCCAAGCACCTTTCTGAGAAGTGCCAGAAATAAGGGGGGGATGCATGCCCCCTTTACTTGCTTCCACTTGCCAGAGGGGCATCTCCAGACTGGTACCCGCCTGATTCCTCTCTGGCAAGTGGGAATGAGAACGGGAGGCAGCAGGGGAATCAGCTGAGCAGTGTAGCCAGCAACAGGGACTACTGCCCCACTTTCCTGCTCCTGATGTGGGGCAGCGGAGGAATCAGTGGAGCAGTGGATGCTTTTCATTTGTCTACAGAATATATTTAGACCAGGGGGCAGCTGGGCTGGGGAAAACTCGGGACAGCCATGCAATACGGAAGCTGTCTTGACTAGCCACTGGGCAAGAATGGCAACAAGCTGCTCTTGCCAAGTGGCTCTGTACTTCTGACCTTGTCACCATGATGGGTTATGTTTCCCGGGTTTGAATGACACAACAAGCCATCATGGTACTAAGAAACCATAGAACAGACTGCTGTTTCTGTTCATGTTTTCTAAATACCAGCTGTACATGCTGAAATACCACAATACCATTTGGACGACAGGACAGACTAACAAAGGTAAAAAACCACTCTGGCTTAGCATCTCATGCAAACCCACCCAGTCTGTTTAACCCTGATAAACTTTCCACATGCTAGCCAGTTTTACAAAGTGGGAATGCTGAAACATGAGGCTATCCACTGAAGCATTACAGAATTTTTCAAAACCTGGAGGCTTTTGCGGGGAAGGGATAACAGGCAGTACATATGAATTATCCTGGGTCCTTGAATCTATCTCAGAGCTATCGTATAATTTTTAGAAAGCTAACCTACATGTGTTGAGAACCTATTGCTAGAGGACAAGAGGTAGGGAGAAAACTTTTATGAAATAATGACTTAACTGTTCAATTTCTTTACGGTATCTTTCTTCTTCCTCAGCAGCCTTCTGTGCAATCTCCATTTTTCGCCTACAAAGGGGCACAAACACAAATATGTTGAAGATGCTTCATGTAGCTCTACTAATCCTGATAATTAAAAAAAAAACAATGCATTAGAAGTAGGGTTGTCCCCTGCCAGGGGAAGCATTTCTAAAGCAAAATGAATTCTGGAAGTGCTGACTGCTAGGAAAGGGAGAAAGGGGGTCTTTGGTGAGCCACCCTCCTTTCGCAGCCTCTAAATCCTCCTTCACTCTTCCAGAGGGTCTTTCCAACCTTTTTCAGCTGCTCATTTGGAGGCACAGGGTGATGTTGCACCCATCAAAAGGAGAGAGAACCCCAGAAACTGCAGAACAGAGCAATGGGGAGAAGAGTAAACTTTTCACCTCTTTCCTCATCTTTCCAGACCCTTTTTGTCTTCTCCATGCTCTGGAGTCTTAGCATCAGGAAATCTAACATATTACCCCTAGAACACAACCATCTTCATAAGTCATTATTAGAGTCATTGCAATGCCCTGAAATCTCCAGACAAAAACAAAGTTTATCAGACCCTGTCTATGCCAAGTTCTTACAGTTTCTCTTTTTCTTGCTGTTCTTTCAGGATTTTATTTGTCTCCAGTGCAAGCCGCTTCTGACGCATTAACTCTTGGCGCTCCATTTCACGATTATACTCTTCCCTCTGCCTTTCTTCTTCAGTCATAAACAGCTCCCTTCCCTAAATAGTATTTAAAATCCCTGATAAGTTATGCACATTTTCAAAGCAAGCATTTTGTCTTGGTGAAGGACAATGAGAATTACTACATTTCTACCAGATGCATAAACAGACCAATCTTGTTTATGCTATTTTGTTTATTAATAAAAATAATTTTATTTTACTTATTAATTTTAAGAAATTCTTTAAATTATAAATGAAATGTTTCTTTAAAATTGTCTGTAAAAAGTATATAATGTATTTTAATTGAAAAGTACATTTCAACTCTGAATGCTTTTTCTCTTTAGCACTATTCTTGTTATTGTTGTCATTACTTTCAAGGGGTATACTGCAAGAGTGGGATCCTCTGCTTTATTTTCTCATGATGGCATATCTTCACACTGAATAGTGTGAAGGCAACAGCAGAGGTGCCATGCCTAGCTGGTGATATCAGCATTTGGTATGAGTCAGCAGTGTTCTAAAAGAAATGGGATGGCGTTTTAGGAATAAGAATAGTCACCCACTTGTCTTTTTTCTTTCTCAATGCAAAACATTGCAGCTGAAAATCAGCCCAAGTGCAATGCAAGTGGGAAATCTTTGGATATTTAGAACATAGAAACAAAGAAACAGAGTGAGTCAGAAGGGGACCTCCCAGGCCATCTAGTCTGACCCACAGCTCCAGCCAGCTCTGCTCATGACATGCCTACCATGTGCATGAACACCCTCACTGATGGGGCTTCAACCACCTCCCATGGAAGCCCATTCCATACCAAGGGGATCTAACTGTCAGGAAGTACAGTAAAACCTTGGACTGTGAGCATAATTTGTCCCGGAAACATGCTTGTAATCCAAAAGCACTTGTATATCAAAGCGAATTTCCCCATAAGGTTTAATCTGTTCTGTAACTTTTTTTTTTTTTAAATCACAAAAATTTGAAGCGGGAGCTCATGGGGGGGAGACGGGCGCAATTGCGGGTGTGCTCGGGGTGGGGGAGACGATGCTATACTCACACCAGCAGAGCAAGAGAGAGAAGAACCAGCGCTCAGTTGTGACATGATGCTCGGTAGGCAAAGCACACGTAATACTCGTACAAGACATAGCTCGTTTATCAAGTTAAAATTGAGAAAAACTTTTTGCTCGTCTTGTTAAACACTCGCAGACCAAGTTACTTGCAATTCAAGGTTTTACTGTAGTTCCTGGCATCTAAATTGCACCTTGGTTCTCTGAGCTTTGTTCCATTGGAATGCGTCCTGCCCTTCTCCACAGGGGAAAACAGGTCTCTACCCATCTCCATGTGATACTCCCTCACATACTATATGTAGCCAACAGATCCCCTCGGTCTCTCCTCCTACAGCTTTCCCTGCAATCTAGCCACCATCCTTGTGGCCCTACGCTGTACCAGTTCCAACCTAGCTATATCCTTCCTGTAATGTGGAGCCCAGAACTGAACATAATGCTTCAGTTGCGGGTGCACCAGAGTCATATAGAGTGGTAATAATACCTTTCTTGATCTAGAAGCCATGCTTCTGGCCATGCAACCAAGGGTGGTGTTCACCCTCTTGACCATCACGTCACACTGCTGATTCATGTTTAGCCTGCAGTCAACCAGCACCCTGAAATCCCTTTCACAAGTGCTGCTTTTCATTTAGAAACATGATTAATGCTAAGTACTTAATATATCTATATCTACATCTACATCTATAACATATACTTATATACAGAGCTGTATGCTTTGGTAGGGCAGCTTTCTGCAACATGGTACCTCAGATATTTTGGACTGTATCTCCCATCCTCCCTTATCACTGACTATGATGCGTAATTGTAACTGCCAGCAGTGGAGTAAGGAGTTTGCTTAGGCATCCTAGAAGGATGCTGGACTCTGTAAACATGAACAAAACGAGCAAAGCAAAATGTACAGGAAAGTATAACCAGGTCAGTGAAAGCATTAGCAAACTGTTGATGCCCATTAATGCTAACATTCAGGTATTTCTAAATTACTAATCCAACTCAATTTCTTTGAATCAGGATTTTAGAAACACCTGACCTGTGCGCATTTCTCCCATTCCTAATTCCAGTTTCAACTGACTCCAGAGGGGCTCTGGCCTGCATGTGTGCTTTGAGGATAAGTGTGCATTTCACCATTATAGCTGTGTGCAACAGTTTTCTAGAATTTCACAGGGCATTTGTTGATGTCTATGACATTAATACTCACAGCTCCTGTTACAACAGTGATAGTCAGAGTTTGACTGCTTTTCAGCACTTTCACAGCCTGAAAAAAGGAAGGGAGGCTGGTGATGCAGATGAAAGAAGAATGACTTCAACTTTCCAAGCTTTTACATCGTTTACCCTTTGTAAAGATGCATTTAGGATACGGTGCACACAATCCATTGGTGCCATTCTACCCAACTTGATCTACAAGCTCATGCTAGAAAACAGGCAGGATCTTGCACCGATACAGATGACTCTGCAGGGCCAGGAGGCTCCTTAAGAGCTGTGTCCAGTCCCACTACCCTCATTCCCACTTTCTCTGGTACACTGAGCTGCCAACTGCAAACTACTGCCAATGCAGCACCATTATCCTAGCTTGCTACACTAGCACGGCAGCTTAGATGTCAACACAATGACCTGGGCTCTGGTGTTGATACAATGCAGCCAGTTTGGCACTTCTTTGTAAGCATTTATTTTCTGATCTGACATGCTACAAGATTGGGCAAAGGATATAAAAGTGGAAGTAGTAAATGCCATAAAATTGTCTTGGGTGCCTTATGAATTCAACAGCTGAGTTCAGTGGGTAAATGTGCACAAGTAAATGTGCCAGGATTGCAAGCATGTAGAACTTTCTATTTGAGCTGAAATAGTGATTCCTTTTATATTTTGAATCTATTTTTTCATATCTTGAACTTAAATCCTTCTCCTACACATGTCTATTTAGAATTAAGGCCCATTAAGTTTAACTGGGCTTATGCACAAGAAAGTTAGAACTGCATTTCAGCTTGTTTTGCTGACTGCATTCTCTGGTTCAGAGTCAAAGAAATCTAGTTGCATCTTAAAATATATCCTGGCAATTCCAGAATGGATTCTGAAATGTATTATTATATAAAACTCTGAAATGAGTTCATTGGCATCTGTTAGGTATGCTCATTAACATTCTATTTACACAGGTAAATTGGGTTCTTTCATTACCTCTTTGTGATCCATATTCGAAAAATCCATTCCATTCACTTCAACAATCTGATCACCAACCTAAAATTGAGCAAGCAAACAAAATATTTGAAGCTGTGGTATATTTCTCAGAAAGGAAACAATTCTAAAGTCATTTGCCATGGAATACATCATGATATTAAACTACTTCAGAGCAACAAGCAGATGATAGTATAGATTATTAGCATATTCTTTTCAAAAGATTTATTTTACTTTATCTTAAGGAAGATAGCACTGATTTTGCTTCGTTTGCCATTAGAGGATGGACATTAGATTGATTTCAAATGAGAACTACTGTATAACCAGAAGGATTTATTATACTCACCTCTAACCCCACTTCTGCAGATAGAGAATGTGGTTTTACATTGCTTATGAAAATGCCTGGCTTTTGTGTGGGACCACTAGAAATACTGGAATGAACAAAGAAAAAAAATGACATCATACAATAATATAATTCAAATAGAGATGATACTTTAAATAATCTTGGCATATACTTGGCACATGAATTTGTTTGGGATTGATGAGAATGCACTGGATCAGTTCCATGGTTCTGATGAGACCCACTGAATCCTCTCGCAACACCCCACTGCTGCTCACGTTCTGTTACAGGCAGCACCACTGACCCATTAGACAGGTCACACTGTGCAACATTTATCAGTGTGCCAGAAAAGAACCCTATGACAGAAAGTCATTTCTCTATAGGCTGGGCTCATTCAGGAGAATAGAACTGCCTTAGTCCAGCTAAGAGATGATGCTCATGAATGATGTGGAAAGTGACCAATTCTCACGTTCCAATAATGAATACTTATGTGCCCAATTCTTTAGCAACAGGGATGCATGATTCAGGGTAACTAAATGCAACTCAGGGGTTAAAGAGCTGAGACACTGAACCTTAAAGGAAATCTTTATCTTGAGTTCTCTCAGCACAACAATTTGTATCAACATTTTGACACTATGAAAGTGCCAAAGTTAAGCTCTTTTAAGTCCAACTACTCAAAAGCAGAAAACAGAGAATACACTCCGTTCTCTGACCCTAAAACTAACTTAAAAGATCTTCATTTGGCCTAAATCATATCCACTAAATCATATCCACTACAAGAAACGACTAAAAAAAGTGAACGAGAATAAACAGCAACCCACCTGCATCCCATGCCCTTTGTACCAATCAAGCTAATGAAAACTTTCTTTTCTTTATGGTTTTTTCCTCCAGATGATGCAAGTCCTGCAACACTGCTCTTACCTTCCTAAAATAGGAAAGAAAGAACACGAGCTCTTCTGAAACTCCAGTTCACTGGCTTCTGTTAGCCAAAGAGGGATGTTGGCCTGAACCCCTGCCATGCACATACCGCCCACTGACATTAACAGTCGGAAAGTTTCAGAGTATGAGGAGATACAGAAACAAAAGGAAAGACATATATTCTTGTTATCCTTTTCATACACTCTGCACATCAGTGTACATAGTTCTCTGAGTGCCCAGTCTAATGAAGACAAAACAGCACCATGCATGTGCAAGAGGGAAGTATACGCAAACCCAAGCTTTCCGCCAGGATCAAGGCAGGGCAGGGCAGGGCAGGGCAAGGCACCTTCAGGGGAAGAACAGACCCTCCAGGATAGCCCAAGGAAGTGCACAAGGAAGGCAAACTGACTGTTGAAAGGAAAATTGAAGACTGGATTGGGGATCTGGAAACAGAATGGAGCAGCTGGAATCTGAACAGGAAAACTCCACATTGCACCATTTCTCTCACATCCCACCATCACCATTATGGCAATATTATAATAAAATCCAGCTGTAAGTGCTTGTTGTGTGGTGTCACCTTCTAAATGGGTTGTAAAAGCTTTCATCCAGTGTTGTAAGTTCATACCAAATTAGTTCCCTAAGCTTATTGTTTCTAGCTCTTAAGCTTCAAATGTTAAACCCTGAATACTGAAAGCAGGTTGTTAAAAGTATAAAAATAATACCACTGCACAGTCAGGTTTATATTTATTTCTATGGTTACTTATTCATTTACTTTTCCAGAGCATTTCATTTTTGTATTCATGGAATCTGCTTGCATTGTGCACACTGATACAGTATTTAAGCGAACACAGAGAAAAGCCCACAGTTGTTTGTTTTTGTTTTTTTATTTTTATTTTGTACAAGACTGGCTTGTACAAAAGCAGATTTGAATATCTTGGGGAGAAATCTCCTTTTCAAAACCCAGAGAAATTCAATGTTAAAAAATGCTGATTTACAAGACCAGAGTTATGGTTACCTTATATTGGTTTAACCGCCCCCTCCCCCCCAAAACAAAACAAACAAACAAACAAACAAAAAAAACCCAGGAATTTGGAAGCCATGGATGATTCCTTAACTGTGTTCAACAGTGAGTGACAATGCTATGCAATGTCACAAATTGTGCTTGTTTAAAACTTATCCACCATCCAACTATCTTTTCTCTGCTCGGGAAACATTTTGGGAACAATTTTCACCATTAAAGCTGACCCAGAGAAGGCATGGGTCAGCTCAAAAAATAAACGTGTGGGTCAACTCACTTAAGCAGTTCTCTAGCAATGAAGGAAGGCTCAGACATGATATAATACGCAACAGAGGGCAGGAACAATATGGGGCATTTTTGCGGGTTCCCGGCACTTTATCTTCCTCATTTGGATTTGGGCCGTTCTAGGCTAAACATGCTTTAAAATAAATAAATAAATATCCAACAGGTTTGTACATATTCATTGTATAATATGTATGACAGCTGTCCAATATACCATATTGCAAAAATTGGTGCAATGCAATATTCTACAATGAGCACATATTCTTGAAAAATCAACTTGTGCATATATATATAAAAAAATAAATTCTCAAAGCTGCATGGTTCCTTACCCCAGGATCTGATACAAACTGGTCTACAAACTGCCACTTGAGAGACTCATCAGGAGAGCTGGAAGAAAAGAACAGTAACGTTGCCAAAAAATGAGCTATGCGTGCTTTCATACCATAAATGTAAAGTTAATTTACAAATATAAAACAAACTAAGACCAATTCCTGCTAACCCTGGCTGCGATAGTCTTATCTATAAAGATGTGTCATTTTCTATTTTCAGTTTTCAATGCATCAAGTTGCCAATCCAAGAAAATTGAAATATACAATAGAAATTTCTATACAGAGTCTGTACTTGAATCAAATACACACAATTACCTTTTGACAGGTATCATGCCAACATCTGCAAAGAAATAACGTTTAATCTCAGTTAGCACCATTTGTAGACCAGCTTATGTTAAGAGCACTAAAGTATGTAAATTGTAGAATGTGTTAAAACAGAGTTCTACTCACGTCTCACTTTTATCGATACAGTTTTCTTTGTGCGAATAAGATTAATTATTTCTTCATGAGTACATGAAGAAATGGAGTATCCATTTATTCGAACAATCTCATCTCCAACCTTACAATCAAAAAAGAATGAGAGAGATATGAAAACAAAATAGTGTGTCTCAGCAGGAATATATATTGCAAACTGCCCATTTAGATGAAAGAGGCTGCTTTCCCTTGCACAGGGCAGACAAACCCTACTGTGAGATGGATGAGATGGGTAACAAACAAGTTTCAAGCGGTGTGTGGTCCCTTGATCATGTCTGAACAGCCTACATATAAGTTCCTTGCTGAGATTTAAATCATTACTTTTTCTGAGCAAGCCAACATTTCCTTCAGGTTCTTTGACGCCTATTGGCTTAGATGCTAATTTTCTGCTAATAAACTACTGATCTGATGAACTACCACTGGCAGAAGTATAGTTATTTTCACTGATTCCACTCTTCCCACAAAATCTGCTCCAGTGGCTTGGGGCTCTTCAGAGCAGCCTGGGAGATTACTGGGGGCTGTGGGGGGTGGGGGGAAGCTCCCCAGCAAAATCTTTCCATCAGCAAGACCCTCCACTGGATAAAATTGAGTCCTTCCCTACAAAGAACAACAATGCAGGCTCACAAGCCTTGCTGAAGAGTAACAGCAAATAAGAGGCCACTGTTTTGGGATGACACATCTATTCAGATGCTAGTATGGTACATGTAGCTTTTTTGGGTAGACTTCAGCTCTTCCTGTGGTAGCATAACAGCTCTGATTAAAGATATCTGATGACACTGAACTTTTGTTGTAAAAACAAAACCCTTTTCCTGAAAACTGACTAATGCAATTGAGGAAGGAGATTAACTGTCTAAGGACTACTGAGTATTTTGGAGACCAAGTGCGGGGTGGGGTAGCAAGGCTACTTGGCAGTGAAATATATGCAATTACTTAAAACACTGCTCTTTTCAAGAAATATACAGGAATTTTCGGGTCACCCATTTCTTCCTATGAAGCCGTGCACTAATCTGGAGGGCATGCTTAAATACGATCAGAATCTAGATGATCAGTCCCACTTCATTTGTATCTAGCTAAGTATTTGGCTATGCTGCTCAGGTAAAGTTAGATCAACCTAAATGTGAAATTAAATATATCTTTACACTTAAAATATGTGTAAATGCAAGTACCACTGAGCTGAACTGAATGGGGCTTAGTTCTGTGCAGATATGTATAGAATTACACTGACTTGTATTGCTTTGTACAACAGAGGACTGCCTTTCTAGATCTTAGTGAGGGTCTGTCTTTACAGAAGTTTTTTTTTGTTAAGTGTAGATGTACAAGATACCATTTGAATCCTATCCATGTCCTACAACCTACAACATTCCCAAGTCCTCACAGCTAGCTGGGCAAGATCAGGAATTGTAGAAGGTTTTACAGGCATAGGATTGATCCCTTAAGCATGAAATTCAACTTATTTTCATAGCAGTCCACTGAAAGTCCATTGCAACTAGGCTATTTCCATCTGATGGGCCACGAAAGCAAGCTGGCTCCTCCTATGTTAAGCTGAGGGAACAAGGTATTCTTTCAGTGGTCAGGCACTCAGTCTTGGTTTACCTCACTTGCTTTTCAGTTGATGGGACACTGTACTTGCCTTGCCCACATAATAAATCAAATTTAATTCAATCCTGAAATGGCTGCTTTCAGGCCATATTTTCCAGCCCGGGAAATCATAGACTGAGCAAACAGTAGGTGATACAGCTAACCGCTGCCACGAACACACAGAGCCTAACCTGTGTGCATTTTATGCATAACCTGTATGGATTTTTCAAGTTCAGTGCCTGTGCCTTGTTTAATCAAGCATTGGCACATAACTGCAGCCCCCACCAGAGCTTCACGTGGTGCTCATTTTCACTTATTGTCCTATCTGACCAATGCTTGACCCAGTTGACAGAAATCCTGTTAGTGTAGTGTAGTAGTCAAGAGCATGGGACTGGGGCTCAGACGATCTGGGTTCTATTCCCCGCTCCGCCATGGAGCCAACTGGGTGACTTTGGGCCAGTCACAGACTCTCAGCCCAACCTGCCTCGCAGGGTTGTTGTTGTGGGGATAAGATGGAGGAGGAGAATGATGTAAGCTGCTTTGAGCCCTTTGTAGGAAAAATTCTGCACCACAAACCCACTAAGACAGTGTAGGACAGGGGTAGGCAAACTTTAGGGGCCCAATTGCCCTATTTTTTTGGGTTCATGGGTACATTTATCATTTTTCTCCATTTCCTTTAGGTTTTGACATACTGCTAGTATAAGCCTTGGCATGTAGGTATGGGCAGATAAATAGGCAGCATGTCTAAGGGCAGCAAAAGGAAGCAGGCTTATTGTTTTGCCCTTGTCAACATTCTGTACTATGCTATGGCGATGGCCTTAAAAAACCAAAACATATTACAGTGTTCACATGGAGGATTCTGAAAAGTGGGTATCTATGTTGGCACTTGGTGCAGCGGCTCTGATAGTCCAGTATATATTCCTTTGCACTAGCCACAAGCCACTGTAATTAATGCATCATGCATAAAACACCAATGAATGAAAATATTAGATGAAACATTACAAATGTATCTTCATCAATCACAAAACTCCTCAACTTGTAGACCAATAAATCAATAAAATTGCAAAGCTAAAATTTATAAAAAGAAATAGGACTCTGCTATGCACCACAGCAGACCTTATTTTAATGGCAACCACCATTTCTCTTCCTGCAGGCTTTGCTGTCACCAGTTTATCTTGGCCATGAGGAAGGGTACACACATATCAGTTGACCGTCCTGAATGGGACACTAACTGTGGGGTACTTAACTCTTTATGGCAATCTCTATACAAGAAGTAAAACATGAGCGAGTGTTGGATGTCATCTCCACATAGACAGTCACTATTTTCTAATGGGATACATTTGAGTAACTTGCTTTGGTAAGCTTTGGTAAGATCATTAATATGACATCTTTACCATGTATTTTTCATGCAGAATGTGAAAAGATGCGACAAAGGGGAGCAAAGATGAAAGATGTAGGCATTACAAAAAGGCAATAAATGGAAAGCAGCCATCACAGCAGAGGCCTGCAAAGGCTTCTGTATTTCCCAGCAGGGCTCTCATGACTTTAACAGCAATGCAGCTGAAAGCAAAATTAGGAGGTCCATCTTTTTGCTACTGCTTAAATTTATGAATTTCATGAGAACCCTGCAAGTATACAAAATGAAGAGTACTTTGAAACTAAGCTGAATAGATTAAAGGTCAGGGTAAGATACTAGGATAAGCAATTCTCTAGGTAACTATTAAGTATGATATACATGCTCCATCTGCTGGGCAACCGTTAAAATTGCAAAATTCTTAATGTTAATGCTTTCTGGGGTGGAGGCAGGAGGCAGGGAATTGCCTCTCACGGCCTTTTTCTGTACGTTTTGCTAGGGATGTTCTAAATCTTCACCCTTGGACATTTTCATCATCATAATATAAGGGACATTTCAGCAAGCAAAAACTTGCTTATTTTTCCTTCTGACTGTTCAGAACTTGTGCACAAGTGCTTATTTCTCAGATCTGAAACTTTGGTGCCAATTTCAAAATAAAGACAACACAATGGTTTGACAGGTGATCCCCTCCAACTGGGGATCATAGAAACACATCACACATTCTCATGGAATTTGGGCTATAAGGATACAACTAAGTCAAAGCAGAAACATTGTCTTCCCCGATAATTACAAATTGCTTACCAATGATTTCATACAGCCAGCAGGTATGACAATTACGCAAAAAAGAAAAATTAGGGTAAGGGAATCCAACCCTTGTTCTGAAGTTTTACTATATTTTATATCCCCTCTCCTATAACAAGCAGCCAAGCAAGATGAGTGTCTTATTTTAATTATTATCATTTCTTTTGTTGTTGCTAAATATTTTCTCCCAATTTTGGCATTCAATTTTGGCTTGGCCTTAATTATGATGGGTGTGTGTGTATATTGTTAAGCTGTTCTATCACTTTTGTTTTGGCATTGCTTCACACCAGAGGTGAAGAGTCATCACTCTGGAGAACTCTGGAGAAAAGCCACTAACAAGCCTTTCCAAAAGGACTCACACTGATTTACCATTAAAAGCCTATGTTGCAGTTGGGAAGCTGACATAACAGGAACTGCATCTTTGTAAGAAACTGGCATAAAACAGCCAGTCAAACTTTTCCAAAATTAATGGCTTTAATGTTTCACCATGTAATTGAGCATGTACATCCTGACATACAATGCTATGCATGTTTAGATAGCAAAAAGTCCTGCGACTCCCAGCATTCTCCAGTCAGTTGTCTTTCTGGCTTTTTTTCTAAGCCTACATGTAATTGTTTGTTTTTCAGTAGAGGCGATGCAGAAGCAACACAATGCCATGCTAACAGTAAATGAAGACATATCATGGGGAGAATTTCACCTTCCCTTTCTTGCCCAATCAGGGCAATGGCACTGATTTGAAACAGAAGCAGATACACACCGTATCTTAGCTGTTGTGCTTCTGAGCTTCATCAGTACTAGAAGTCACAGACTGAGAGGTAAAATGGACAGGCAGAGCAATCTTACATCTCAGAGTACAGGAGATCCAGAGGCAGGAAGAAGCAGTGTGTGCAGGGGGACATTCTTCCTTTTCCCTTCCCATCGATATGAGGGAATTTACTTTGCTATCCCTTGGTCTTTCAATGGCTCCAGGTCTGTTTAGGGACATGTTGGGAGAACGAAAGGGCATAGAGACATGCAGATCCTCAGCCTCCCAAGTATACCTGTAACCCTCCCCTTCAGCCACTCTGTTTTTACCTAGAGTAGCAGAACTTTTTGCTGCTGTCCAAGGGGACAGCAGCTCCTCAACCAGATTTATAAGACGTAGGCTTGCTCCATAAAATGGTCAAATAAATATTTAAAAATTTGGAATCCATGGCAGAGTTTCCATATTCAACATAACCTTCAAAATAAATTTATGTATTTTGATTAAGTTTCTATACTTCCCAGTAGCCAGATCTCTCTGGGCAGTGAGAGAGTGAGTGTTTCATGCTTCTTTTTCTGGGAAATCCTGGTAGCAACAGTTGCATACCCAGTACTGGTGTAAAGAATGAATGCAGGAAGCATTATTTGTTTCCATTTGTTTATAACTACACAAGTTGGGTAGGGGGAGTAGACATGCACGTATGAAAGGCCAATTTCACTCTGAGCACTCCCAAAGTCTCCTTCTTGACATCCAGTAAGAACTCAGACTAACTTCTTAAGCCAAATGCAAAGTGCATTGCAACAAAACGTGCTTTCCTCACCTCCTGCCCTAGCAGTGCAGCAGCTTCTTTTGCCTTCAGCTCTGCACATGTGCCCTTGTACTCACCTGAACTACTGCAGAAGCTGCTGACTTTCTATTTGATTCTCCTGAAGTGGGCTTTGAATGGGCATGGGGGCGCTCACAAGACTGAGCTGAGCATAGGATCCATGACATAGGCTATTCTAAACTCGATTATGCCCTTATATTATTATCAGCATATATTATTGTGAAAGAACAGATCTCAGCCGGACCTTGATAGTCCTCATCTGGTGCATCAGCCTTTCTTGTATTAGGATCCGAAGTTTGGATACAGCTATTTATTTATTTATTTATTTATTTATTTATTTATTAAAACATTTTTATGCCGCCCCATTCGCCGAAGCCTCGGGGCGGCTTACAACAAAAAATTAAAATAACATTTTAAAATATATACAATAAAATACAAACATATAATATAAAACATACACTATAAAACAAGCCGCCCTGGCCAAATAAAATTCAATAATATTAACATTTAAAATACTGCTTAAATAAAAAGGTCTTCGCCTGGCGCCGAAAAACAAATAACGACGGCGCCAGGCGGACCTCTCTGGGGAGCGCATTCCATAACTTAGGCGCCACCGCTGAGAAAGCCCTCCTCCGAGTAACCACCCTCCTAACTTCTTCCATGGAGGGCTCCCGGAGAAGGGCCTCTCCCGCCGATCTCAGGGGGCGGCTGGGCATATAAGGATGTAAGCGCTCCTTCAAGTAACCAGGACCCAAGCCGTTTAGGGCTTTATAGGTCATTACCAACACCTTGAATTGGGCCCGGACTTCAATGGGAAGCCAGTGAAGCTGACGGAGAACTGGAGTCATGTGAACATAACGTCCAGTCCCCGTCAGCAGCCTGGCAGCTCTATTTTGGACCAACTGAAGTATCCGGACCGTCTTCAAGGGTAGCCCCACGTAGAGCGCGTTACAGAAGTCCAGACGGGAAGTCACCAACGCATGTGTCACTGTCGCAAGGCAGTCATTCTCCAGATAGGGGCGCAGCTGATGAATTAGCCGAAGCTGGAGGAAAGCGCTCCTCGCCACTGCTGTTACCTGAGCTTCCAGTGAAAGCTCCGGGTTGAGGAGCACTCCCAAGCTGCGGACCTTGTCCCTAAGAGGGAGTGCAACCCCGTTCAGGACAAGGTTCAATTCACCCTCTCCAAAGCCCGATCCGCCAACCAACAGGACCTCCGTCTTGTCTGGATTGAGCTTCAGTTTATTGGCCCTCATCCAGCCCATTACCTCGGCCAGGCACCGGTTCAGCACAGCCACTGCCTCACCTGGATTGGTGGAAAACGAGAGGTAGAGCTGGGTATCATCAGCGTACTGATGGTTCCGCAGCCCACACCTCCTGATGACCTCTCCCAGCGGTTTCATGTATATGTTGAACAGCAAAGGGGACAAAATGGACCCCTGCGGTACTCCATGGCATAGCTGCCATGGCGCAGAGCCATAGTCCCCCAGCACCACCTTCTGGAACTGGCCGTTGAGATAGGAGCGGAACCACTGCAAAGCAGTGCCTCCGACCCCCAATCCCGCAAGCCTATCCAGAAGGATACCATGGTCGATGGTATCGAAAGCCGCTGAGAGGTCCAGAAGAACCAACAGGGACGCACTCCCCCTGTCCTTCTCCCTGCACAGGTCATCGTACAGGGCGACCAAGGCAGATTCAGTACTGTACCCGGGTCTGAAGCCGGACTGCAATGGGTCCAGATAATCAGTTTCATCCAAGAGTGCTTGGAGTTGTCCCGCCACCACTCGTTCTAACACCTTGCCCAAAAACGGGATGTTGGCCACTGGTCTATAATTAGTGGCCATCTCTGGATCCAGTGACGCCTTCTTCAGGACCGGTCGGACTACCGCCTCCTTTAAAGGGGCAGGCACCCGACCCTCCCTCAGAGAAGCGTTAACCACTTCCAAGATCCAGGTTCCAATCCCGTGCTTGGAATCATTTATTAACCAAGACGGGCAAGGGTCCAAAAGGCAAGTGGTTGGACGTACTCGCCCAAGCACCTTGTCCACGTCATCGGGCCGCAGTAACTGAAATTCATCCAATAAATCTGGACCAGACGGCAGCGTTGGTGTCTCCTTTGAAACCTCTGAATCAATAGTGGTGTCCAGCTCGTGACGAATCTGAGCGATTTTCTCCCTGAAATGCTACATGATGATGAAGAGCAACAGGGTTTATTCTGCAAGTGCCTGCAGGACCAGGCCCAGTTCTGTAGGCACTTGAAAGGATTGGAACATGTGGCACAACTGGGAACTCTGGAAGATTCTGTAAAAGGTATTCTTGTGTTGTTCAGCTTGGCTGCAATAACATGGGCATTCATGGTGACAGCTCTGTATTCTCAGTCCTGCGCCCTGCCCTGCCCGCTCCTGACTCTGGTTTGGCTCTGCCTTGCTAGGCACCTGATCTTTGCCTTTAGCTCTGGTCCTGCCATGCCCTGTCATGTATCCATCCCTCACTTATTCCTGACTCCGCTTTTGCCTCTGGGCATGCCTTGATGGTATCTGACCTGACTTTGTTTTTACCCCTGGTTCTATTGCATCATGCTAAGACACCAGCCACCTTTATCATCCAGCTGTAGGCACCTACTGCCTGAACTCTGGGCTTGACACCTTGACCTGGTGCTCTCCTGGTGCTTTGGACTACAAATCCCATGTGCCCTAGTTAGCATGGTGAATGACCAGGGATGAAGGGACCTAAGATTTGAAACTTCAGAAGGGTTGGGACTGACAGTTACACATGTCAGTCATTGTGTAAACACAAATTGTAGCTTCTTACATAGTCTGAAAGAAAAATGGTTTATTGGCTGGTGGTCACTATATTGGAAGGCAAGGGTGGACAAGACTCCCCCCCCACTTTATTATTGTTATTATAAAAATAATAACAAAGACATTACTTGCTATTTGATCCCTACTATGGTTATTTTCTAATAACTGTTGCACACAAATGAAGTTTGCCCTTCAGAACCGAGTACGTTCTTGCTCTCAACCTCTGCAAATGGGTTTCATCTTTTCTATCAAGATCCCTGCTGTTTGACACCATGCAGAATTGAAAATGAAACACTGAACTGGATATCTCAGGCTGCCTTCCTATCATAAAGGTGATCATTATATACAAAATGCTTGCTTGCTTATCACCAGTATGTTTCTAGAGAAGATTACCAATTAGGGAGTAATCCTATGGCTCCTAGATAGTGTAGGATGAACACAGGTTGCTGGAGATTCCCTTTGCCCAAAGCCATAGATAATATTATGCCTTCAGGCAGCAGAAATACAAATCAGAGTAGAGATTTCCCTCTCTCCCCCAGTCACTCCTGCTCCTCCCAGCTGCTCTAGAAAGTTTGTCATGACCCTAGAGGGGAGGGAATTCATGTGCTGTGGTGAGCAAGTGGACCAGGAGAGGAGAGCCTGTGGATATGACTGCCCCACAAGCCTCTTTCCCTGCCTCCACCCATCAGCAGTGGGCTCAAGCACCTGTGTAGCAGAAGATACAGGAAAAGAGGTTAAAGAGACTAAAATAGAATATATTGCAGCGCCCTCCCTGCTGGCAGAAACCAAACAAAGCCCTTGATTCTCGGAAGCTTCATATTTTGGAGGCTTCCATCTAATGGGGCTCAGTCCAATAGCACTGTGTCGAAAGAGAATGAAAACACTGAGAAAACTAAAAGAGAAAATCTTTTCATACATTCCTTTGTTTTCTTATTTTGAATAAGGGTCCCTTATTCCTTTTTTTCTTTTTTTACTAACTGAAGTATAAGAAGCAGATTCATGATGGTTTCAAATTTTCCATTTTCATGTTTCCCTTTACTTCTATTATCCATAATCACTTCCAGCCCTTTTTGGTCAACAGAGTCTCCAAAGGTATGAGTATCTGGGAGAGCAGCAAAAAAGAAAGATGAAATACATGAAAAGGCTAAATACTATCCTTTCAGGAAAAGAAGATAAAGGAAAATCACGGAAAATAGGTCAATGCTACAAACACTTTAGTTATGTATCTTGACTATACACACACGGTTCAAGTGGGACAGAAACTACTTAATTTCTCACAGTCAAGAAAGATGAATCAAAATGGTATAGAAAAAAGGGGAGCCAGAATCTGATATTAAGTTAGAAGATCATTATGCCTTTTCTTGTGCCAATTTTTTCCCGTCTAGAAAATGTGTGGAGATTTAGTGAAATAATGCAGATGGATGAAATTTCAGAAGCATTTGGCTTTATCATGAGACAGCAATTTAGAACAATGGGTTGCCTGTCAACTTCCCTTATTCAATTGGTTTTAGAAAGTTTTAGAAAGTGCTTTGTAAAGACTATTATAAATGCACCTTAAGCTAATCCTTAACATCACCTTTCAGCAGACTAAAGCAGAAAGCTACGTTTGCTGTAAATTCCAATTGGTTTTGTATTCACAGATTATAACGGGTAAGAATCCCAACAGGAAAGTGTGGAATTTCTTTGTTAACCTACGACATTTGCCTAAACATTGATTCATTGGGTTTTTTTGCTCTCCTATGAGGGCTCTTGGATATTTCTGAGTATGGGCTGAATCATGATTTCACCATTTGCTATCCTGAACAATGACATACATAAGACATTTTCAAGCTATAATTTCCTTTTCACCTGAAGTCCAACATTGTCTGCTTGTCCACCTTTCATTAACTGTGAAATAAAAAGGCCACAAGAAAATTCAGCACCTCCTCGAACACTGATCCCAAGGCCTTCAGGATGCAGACGGTCCAATCTCACCTCTTTCAACTTTCTGTGAAAGTTGGAATAGGATAACCAGTTAGGACCACTCAAACCAAATTCAGCGAATCTGCAACCAAGTTGCAGCTGAAGGTACAATCCTATGCATGTTTAGGCAGTGAAAAAGCCTACAACTCCCAGCATTTCCTAGCTAGCCTTTAAATGTCCCCGTCAACCATGTACCGTGATTCTCCAATAGTGATGAGGTATCAGACTTCTGAAGCATGTGAAATGTATGATTTCAGGTCAATTCGCTACTTTTAATTAGTGACATGAATTTAGTGACATTAATGTGCACAAACATGCACATTAAACAAACCTATCAAACAAACCTATCAAGTAGGGTGTTTAATTTCTCTGATTTACTTGTTTTTGCAAATGAACAGGATTTTTAAAAGTCAGATTTTACTGTTGGCATTTTGGGGCCCTGATGCCTTTCCATAGTTACAGCCCTGAAACACTACAAGCACAGTGCCTACGTATAACTATGCCAGTCCTAGGAAAGGCAAGGCCTGCCAAAGAGGAGCAACTATACTGTAACCCACGGCCAGTAACTCTCCCTTGCCCTGGCTGTGTTCACCCTATTCATACAGAGCTTCCTTCCATCTTTTGGCTCTGAGTTCCTTAAGGGCTGCAGGACTGGCAGGAAATCTACTGATATTACTTATGTTTCCATGTTATAAAAAGTAGCACCTGCCCAACATCTAGCCAGTGTGGAATGGTTAAAGACATCAGGTTCTCAATAGAAAAAAAAGTTGCAACAACCTTAGTTTCAGCCTCAGTGAACCAAATACAAAGTTCACTGATGGATAGCTCGTTAAGCTGCAAGAGAAGCAGGAAAGAGCTGCTCCTTCCACCCTGGCCACACCAGATTCTTGAACAAGATGCTGAGACTCATAAACCAAATACTTTTACATACATGCAAGTATGCATACATAAACTTGTGGTCATGCAGAGACAGGAACATTGTTCAAACCTACCTAGATCGCTTAGGGGTCAATTGATCGTACTCCACTTGATGCTTTAACGGTATAAGAGGACGGATGGCCTCAAACAATGGCAGTCGACTTGGCTCATTGATTACATACTTCAGATCTCCCACCAACACTGGAAGATTCATGGATCTATAAAATTAAGTTGAAGATGGTTATACTGGGAATGCGCAACTGACAGTGACTCATGGCATAATCTTGTACAAGTTTAGACAGAACAAAGCCCTGCCATTCCCAGCGTCCCTCTAGCCAGCCATGATGGCTAGGCTATACTGGGAATAGTAGGATTTTCACCCTAAGGCTGGCTTTAGTCATGCTAATTCATTTTTGCTCCTGAGAATATTTCTTCCGCTCTCTCTTTTTTGTCTTTGAATTATATTCATGAAGTTAAAAGGAAACAAAATATGAGCAGATAAGGTTTCTTTAAAATCACATATAGATGAAAAATGCACTATCTTCTCACAGGATAGATTGGATCCAGATTTAATTGCACTCAGATCCAATTGAAATAATGACTTAATTTCCATTGATTTCAATGAGAACAACAGGCAACTATCATGGTCTTAACCCATTCTAATCCTTTTGATGTGGCTGTATTGTTAAGAAAGAAAGATACATTTAAGGTATTATTCCTTGCATGTACGGACAGGAAAACTCTTGCAACTCCCAGAATTCCTCAGCCAGCATTATTGTCTCTGCCCCAGCAAACTTCTTTGCAACTCCCAGCATTCCTTAGCTAGCATTATTGTCTCTGCCCCAGCAAACTGCTTAGGTATCAGCTGAAGGCAAGATAACAAAGGAAGGAAGGGAATTAAACACCTGCACAGAAAACGTTATGGGTACTCAGGGGGTGATGTGTGGCATTTGAATATAAAATATTTACCTAGCAAAATATGAATTTAATGCATTGAGTGGATTTAACTGAAATAAAGGGACCATAAAAAGGACCTTTATAACAATAATGTACATTTATGTATTAATAATATCTTCCAGCACTGGGTGAGAGAGGTAGTGGTGGAGAATTTATATTTGGACTATCAGTTAGGTTTGCAACTCCTGCAAAGTTTTAAATAATTAACAATGATGAATTCTTCCTAATTTCACAAGCTACAGGCAATGCTTTATGAATGGAGAAACAATTAGCCAGTCCCAAGTGAAACCAAACCGGGTTTGTGACCAAGGCCATACAAAAGTATAACACAAAGACCACATGGAAACTTGAAAACGTCTACATTTCATTCTACTGAACTGCTATTAATTAAGATATGTCCAGAAATTATAACTGCCAGAACCACTCTCTTGTGAGGAGTGGAAAAATATTCCAGTCTCCTCTAACAAAAACAAAATGGTCCAAGCTGTGTTCCAATAACGGCTGACTGAACAAACATACAGTATAACTTATGTCAGAAAGTGCATTCACATTTTGTTACTAAAATACTGTTTACAGTATTTGCATTAAGAAAATCACATGGGAATAGAACAAAACAAAACAAAAAAGAGGAGTATACTTAGTTTCTTGCAGCAAAAACTGAGTCATGTGGCACTTTCAAGACTAATGAAAATTCTATGTCATGACCTTATTAATGCTAGGATGCTTATCTACCTATTTTATGATCATGTAATTATTTTGCATATATTTAAACTATGATGTAATTATCACTGGGTACATTCCATGGACCTCTGTTCTCACTGCTAACAGTTCTAAAAACATCTCCCCTACTTCTTCCTACATCCATGTGTACATATATCCATCCAACTCAAGATGATAGCCTATACATCCAATGAGGTTGGTTCTGGTCCATGAACTCTTATGTCACAATAAATTAGTTAGGCTTCAGTCGTACTCTCTCTTACATAGAAATTTGTCCCATTGAACGCAAGAGGACTTACTTCTGAGTAGGCATGCATAGAATTATTCTGTTGCTGCTGCTGTTATTGTAATTATATTTCTACACCCCCAACAGCTGAAGCTCTTTTGGGGTGGTTACAATTAGTCTCTGAAGTCCTACAAGTCACTTAGAAATGAACCAATGATCTCTGTGATAAAAACCATAAATTATATGCTCAAATGTGAAGCCTGAATGAAATCAAGCGATGTTAAAAACTGGATTGCATTATCTGTGTTTCTGAATGTGCAGATAGATTTTTGTTCCCTATACACAATTTTTTGGAAAATAATTTTAGGCCCTATTTACATTTCCCTTTGCTTGCACAGACTGGAATAATTCTTGCAGAATGAAGCAGGAGTAGCATAAATTAATATGCGTATCATGTGTTAAAGGCTGAAAATGTTTTGCTAAAATAAAACCACAAATAATTTATTGGCCTAATTTTCTGTAAGCTATGACTGAAATAAAATGCTCATTGTTTAAAACTTCTTCCCACTCAAGTACCACACAACAACAACAGTTAAAGCAATAATAAATCTGCACTAAGAACTTACTGGTGGTACATGCGCAGTACATCATACAGATAATCTTTCTCTGCTTCATTATCAATTAAAAGGTCAACCTGAAAAAGAGAACAATTTCAGTGTAATTCGCTAACCACAAATAATTAATGCTGAAGACTGCTATCTCTTTAAAAAGACAGCAATTTTTAAAATGTGTTTACAAGAAGTTCTTACAGTCTTGAAACCAAAACCCTTGTACTTGTAAGGTCATTTTTCAAACCATGCCAGAATCTACACCATTTTCACTACTGTGTAACACATTGTAATATCATATGAAAGTCTTACCTGATAATGACTAAACTGTTGTATAAATATTTTCAAAAACCTTTTAGGCCATTCGCTAGTGTAGCACATGGCAGTGCAAAGTAGAAATTATTGTCCCGAAACCAAAAAATTTGCTAGGTTCAGCGGCTTTAAATTAGAAATGTCCACATCCTTCTGATGATGTGCAGGGAATTGGATTGCTCCTCTTGGATTGATACCTTGACAGAGCTCACTGCTAGGTAGTTATTCTTTCTTCACTCTCTGTGTAACAGCATATTCACTTAAACTAGTATCAGATTACAAGAAGTTCAGTTTGCTAACTGTTCTAAAATAATAAATAAAAGTACAAAGTTCTGGTATATTGTATAGCTCAAGCTGCTTTTATGAGTATTCCTAAAGCCACTGGACTTCCACTACCTATTAGTTCTCTTATCAATGCAGTTTTTGTGATTATTTTACCAAGAGCTAAACAGTTACTACACAATTAAAGCCACTTATCAGAAGAACACATAAAGCTGTGTTTTATACTGAGTCATTGGTCCATCTGTCTTAGTATGATATTTGCACTTCCATCCTTGGTTCCTAGGCCAAGAAAACTTCTAGGGAGCCTATAAAACAGAATGGAAAAAACCTTTCAGGCACTGCTGGCAGAACATGATGCATTGAGCTTCCTCCATTACTAGGGCAACTACCAGCTTAGGGCTCTGTCTTTCCCTTCAACTCTCTCCTCTCCAGATGTATCGCTTAATGTTCTAGCTCACCAAGGGCTGGCTTTAACTTTGCTTCAATATGCTGGTGTTGCTTTTATGGATTATGTATTATTGTTCTTTTTTAACTGTCCTGGTGACATTTGTGGAAAGATGATATATAAGAGAGGGAGAGGGAGAGGGAAAGGGAGAGGGCATACTAAATCACAAAGTGTCCTGGACAAGAAACAAAATTCACCAAGGATGGAAAAAATCAGAATAAGGCTGGACAAAAAATGAGAGAAGATAAAAACACCTGCAAGATGATGAGGAGGGGGGTTGAAGGTAGCTGAAGCAATAAAAAAGGCTAGTAAAATACCACACAGGAAAGAAAGGGAGAGAAATGTTGGTCTGTTATAGTGATATTAGTTTTATCTTTACATTTCCCAATGAGAAATGAAGCGACAGAAATGATGGGTTGGCCCCGGTGTACTTGGGAAAGCATTCGGACCATTTTCTTGGACTTATCCTGAAATTAACCCTCTACACATTCACTTCTACTTAAAAGTCAGCTATACTGAACCTGATTTGAGAAGGTTTTTCTGAAATATCTCAAAACTGAAATACTCAGAGATAAAATTGAAAGGCCAGTAAACAGGATTATCTATGTTTCTCCATCTTCTTTCTGATTTGCCTCCTTTCAGACTCTGCCTTCTGCTGCACCTGAAAACATATCCCAGTTGCCAGGCAAACAATTAACTAAAACAGATACGCAGAAGTAACAGCATTGTTAACTGGGTGCCAGGATCCTGACTGTTCTAGATGCTGGAGACAATTCTTTGCAGGAAGAGGCTTCAGATCCTGCAGAGCTACTCACTCCTTCTAAAGAGTTGGAGAAACCCACAGTTTTTTGAAGACAGCCTGAACAGCCCCATCTCAGGGATGTCTCCTCCGGGTCTCCAAAATTCCTGTGATCCCATCACAAGCCCTGCAATGATCTCTCCTCCCATGGCTCTTGAGATCAAAGATAGCAGTAACCCAATGGGAAGTATGGAGTTGCTGTAAGACTACATGTTTGGCTGCCAAAGGCTTTATGGAATTTGTTCCCTGGTGAAATATACCTGACACTGACGTTGTACATCTTCCGGCACCAGGCAAAACTTTATAGTTCACTTAGCATTTTAATGTTTAAAAATATGTTGTTATGTTTTCAGGACTTCATTCATGTCTTCATTTTATTTTCTGTTCTATACTTGTTTTTATTTATTTTTATTAGTATCTTGTATTAATTTATTAGTTTAATTTATTGTTTAATAGGAATGTTTCATTGAACTCTTTATTTTTTTTAACATATGGTATTATGCTTGTATTTTATTGAGTGTGGCTGAGTGACAGGTATACAATCAAATAATCAATTGATCAATCATTCTATCAGTGAATCCTCAGAGGTCAACTCAGAAAGAAAACCATGGTTGGTTGCTGAACTGTGAACTCTGGCTTTTTCATGGTTAATAATCCATAGTTAAATAAAATAAATGTATTTTATTGTGTTGTAAGCCACCCCGAGGCTTCGGCAAGGGGCGGCATAGAAATGTTATAATAATAATAATAATAATGATGATGATGATGATGATGATGATGATAATAATTAAACCATACTTCAATGTTTGTACCAAATGGCAACCCATGTTGGTTCATAAAACCAACAACACATACAACTGCATCTTCAGGGAAGGCAAGAGTAAACAAATAGATTTTCAGGGCCTTCCTAAAAGCCTGCAATGATGGGGCTTATTCCAGAGGTGCATCTCTTGAATTCTAAAAGTAGAGCTGTACAGATGTCATTGTAAGGCTTTACACTATGTATATGGGGGAAAGTCAGAATTTTGATAATAGTATAATTTTATGAGATAAATTTTCTTCCTCCTTCAGGTGAGTATAAAAGCACAGTCATATCTCTGGATGGGGACCTTGATGTAACATACTACAGTTAATATTCATGGATTTTAAATACAGTTCAGAAGTTGCTTCCAACAAGGAAACTCTGAAAGAAACTTGTGGATCTCCATAAAAAAGTATAAGCAATACAAGTTAACATATAGCAATGTAAAGAGAAATAATTATATGTGCAATAGTAAACCATGTTCTCTTCAGTGCCAGGAGAAGGGGTAGGGTTAGTTTGGTTTTATTGGTGGTATATTTTAATATTGAGTATGGTTATGCATTTTATGTAAACATAGGTTTTATGAAGTTAAGATGTGACATGGGCGTGCTTTTATTATTTGATTGTTTCATGTTTGTATTTACTGTTTTATATAGTTTTTTATATGGTTGTATTGTTTGTAACCTGCTCAGAGAGCTGTGTGGCTAATGGGGTGGGTTAAAAAATGAAATGAAATCCTTTTTTAAGATTGTCATTCAATTGCCATTTTGTTTAAACCAGTGAACTAAACAGAATGTTACAGAGCTGGAAAAGGCCATGCATGCTTATGTGCATGCACAGAATATTTCTAAGAGCATGAAGAAATGTGGTGGCTTTTGAAAGTGCAACTGTGAATGGACCATTAAATCTCAAAGAGATATGAGCAGTGTGGTAATGTTCTGTATGACATTGCTTGGCCTTTCTAGCAGCAGTCAAGCTCACTGAATAAGAACATACATTATGACGGCTACGTTTTGAAATCTGTGGCTGGCATTCCATCTTGCTTCTCCATTAATGAAAGAGGAGTATTTCTGTCAATTCCCAATCCATCTATAGGTTTCTCACACACACCATATCCCAGACCAAAAATTCCCGACCTCCAACAGCAGATTTATAGAGGGCATAGAAGATTTCTGAGATGAGAAAACCCTGCCCTATGAATGCAAATTTTGTTCTGTTCATGGAAGGGATGGTAGGCTGTAGCGCTCCAGGGCCATGTTTCTAGGCCTGATTAAGTATGCCTATCGAAAAGAAAGTTAGAACTACACAGACTACTTCAGCTGAGTTTGATTAAATCATTGTTAGTGTACGTGACCATGCTAAACCATGATGGGTTGTTACCCTGGATGAACCTAGAGTGCTTTTTCTGCCATGGTCTATTTTTCACAAACAAGTCACCCTATGGCTAGAGTAGTGCTGTTTAGCATTGCTTGTTCTTAGGGTGGCTTGTTGTGACTCCTGAACTTGGCAGGTTGATTTTATCATGGGCTGTTGGAAACGGCTAGAAAGCCACCTGACAAGCTACTACAATACTCTTTGCTCTTCAAGATTTCATTAGTTCTGCCATCATTCTATCTCATGCCATCTAGTGCCCTCTACCTCAGGTGGATTTTAGTGTTTTTTCATAGAAATCTTGAACTACGGACACCTGAGAGTATCTCTAATATATGTGCAATTTGTGATTTAATTTTCAACTCTGCACAACTGCACAGGAGTGAATGTCCACCGCTAGGAATTTTACATAATTTTTCCTTCAGTTTTACCACTTGGTCTTGAAATTTGTGTAATTTCCCCTCTCAATGTTACTCCTCTGCATGACATTTGCATATATTAGTAGTCTGCCACAGTCACCTGCTTTGAAACTTGCATATATTTACCCAGTTAGTCTCTGCTCTGCTGTAACATTGTTAGTGCATAGTCCCCACTTAGTTACTGGTAGTAAGTGCTTTAAATTAAAATATTTTGGTATTTTTTGGCCCTGCCCACCACTGGAATATGGCTTCTAGGTGCTTCTCCCAAATGGAACTTGGCTTTCAGGCTGAAAGTATTTCAACACCCCTGGTCCACACGCTTCTGTTTTAAATAAACATTTTACAATTTTACATGCTGCTTTACTATTTATATTCAATTACTATTTCACATTTTTTCTTTTCTGTTGTTGTTGCTATTACTTAATAGTATTTTGTCCCAACAATTTTCTGAGCAATTTAGAGCCAATGAAACAAGCTCTTAAGAAGAATAAAACTGACTTATCATGGCCAACATACAAGGAGCATTAAGGAAGAACTTATAAGGTCAAGATGGACTGTAATGGCTTATAAGTACCTACTTTGAATCATATGAATGAATTCTATCATATTGACAGCAATCCAGTGATAACAATATGTGTATTATTAAATACATTTATGTTCTGGTCTGTACATTTTAAAAATAATAAAATATTATTTAAAAGAAACAAGATGTTAGACCAGTTGAATCCTGCAATCTGTTATACAGGAGTGCTTTATTCATTTATTGGGACTGTGGTAAGAACAGCAATTTTAATAAGCAAATGTGATTGGTCCCAGAATACCTTATGAATATTAGCAGTATAACAGGCCATAAGTACAAGGTACAAAACAATAAATAGTATGTTCGATACACATGACTACAGTGTGACTGCTATTGCCCATCCCAGTCCTGAGAGTTCAACAGAAAATGTGTTGCAAAATATGTTAATGTTTTGAGTGTTCAGGTTTATGCCCATTTCCCTCCTCTTCCAAAGTATTTCTGGGAATCTGGCTCAACATATTTTAGGTGTTCTTCTTCATAATAAAAGAGAAAAGAGAGGGAAAGTTTTGTTCTATTATGTTGAAAGAAGCAACCCCCTAAACACACTCAAGTAAAAGTAAATCCATTGAAATAAATGCTAATTTATTTCATGAAAAATATCTTTCAGGGAGCCAAATGGCAGTGGACAAGAAGACAGACTGCTAGATTTCAAAGAATTCATTTCCAATAAATAAATGAATACCATTAGAACAAATTCATATTTTCTGGTTATATTTTCATATTCTAGATTGTGAACTTGATATGGGATGGTGGAGAGGAAGGAATATAATGGCAGGTTTTTCACTATATAGGTTGTATTAATTGTCTTCATTAACATTTGCATATTAAAAACTAAAAACACACATTGAACTTGGACGGTTAGAACAGATAAACCCCCTAAAAGGAATACCAACAAGTTGTAATTTATCTTGGATGTAAATTGGAACAGAACTTCTAATATAATTTATTCCAACTGCTCACATGTCTATTTCTAAGCCATGTACTTCTAAGATGTCTTTAAAAAGCCCTTTGATTCAAAGGGTCCTCAACATTTTATATCACTTAAGTTTCTCAGGAAACTTTGTCTTTCATTTTGTCTGCCAAATCACACATTCAGTTTAATAATAGCAACATGTATGTAAAATAAAAACAATAAAATGCAGTGTAATTACAATATATGTGTTCACACAATGTTTAAAGAACAACCGGCTGTATACTTTTGAGTCAAGACATTTTTCAGTGCTGGCTTGCAACTATTAGCTTTCACTTTTTCTTTTTCTTTCTTGTTGGGGAGAGAACAAAAGGGCTATTATGCAATACACCTAACCTTGCCAAGTCTCTTGATCATTGACAAGGAAGCGCTTGAAAAAGAAGACAGAAGAGGATCTGGAGAGAGAGAGAAAAAAAAGGAAAGAAGGAAAACTATTTTTTGAAAGTTTTCCCTCTGTCCACCTGCTCAGTGAATATACGTAATATTCTGAAAGAATCCTCTTGGAATTTCTTAACTTTCCATTGCTTAGCGCTTCCCCGTTTGGAGAGGCAAACGGGAACCGAAGTCAGGTTGGCAGAAAAAGATGGATGACAACCACCAGCAGGCACGTACATTCCGCCTCCCCTTCGCCAAGGTGGGAATGCAGGCTCTGCTCCATCTCGCCTCCCGAAAGAACGCGATCCTCACCCCCCACACCTCCTGGGCCCCTGGGAGAAAAACTTTCTTCTGCTGAAAGAAGCGTTTCATCCTCCCTCTCCCCCCGCCGCGCTTCCCCCTCGCGGGCCGAGTTAATTGATACCCGGAGTCCATAGTCCCAGCGCCACGCCACCCGCCTCCCCTGCTCGGCAGCGGCAACTGCTCCTTCGGCAGCTCCCTGGGCCGAGGCGGGGCGGAAAGTTGCAGCTTAGCGAGGGAGGCCCAGCGCAACGCGAGGTCTCGCTTCGCAGCGCGCTTCTCCCTTACCTTGTGCCTGAATTCCCTGGCCACCTTCCGCTCCATGGCCGAGCCGACGGCGACCTTCTCTTAGCTTTTCCTCCGCCGAGCGCGCACTCTGCGGATGCGCTTTTCTCCTGGACCTGGACACAGGTTAGGCGCCGGACTTTGAGCCGACGCTAGAGGGCGCAACTCAGCTCCGCGTGGCGGGCCGGCGGACAGGCAGGCGGGTTGTCCGGGCCAAACCAAGGCGAGGCAAGGCAGGCCCTTCCCTGTTTGCATCTCCGACCTTCACATTTTATTTTCAAACCTTTTAATTTCAGTGAATATAGGTCAACTACTATATAGCATTTTACACGTCAACAGTGCCGCCAGTCCTAAACCAAATAAATATACTTTTCATGCATGTATTCATAACAATACAGCAGAAGTGATCTGAGCAAAATTATATACAATTGATATTTTAAATTCTCACAGATTTCAATGCAAGACACTATTTAATTCTTTAATTTAGAATCTAAATAAAATGTTTGGAAAATTCTAGGCTAAAGTCAGGTTTCACAGGGACTTTAGCCCAGAATTTTCCAAGCATTTTTATAGGGGTGATACCTTCTAAATAAAATCTGCTTTCTTGATTTCAGCTTAGCCACCTCAAAAGCTGCACTTGGAAGAGAAGGTCCGTATCCCAGTAAATGTATAGACAAACATAAGGGATTATTTTTTCCACCCCTAGAGTTTCAGAATTTCAGTAATTGATAGACACTTTAGATACATGCAGATGTAGTGGGAATACAGAATTACTATTCTCAATACAAATGCATCTTCTTCTGTAGAAAAATGATCTGCCCTACTACAAATAACTTTTCCAAGTTATTTCACCTGGAAGTGAATCAGCTCTATTTCATCAGCTTCTGAGCATTTCTTTTTCTCCCAGAATGCATTATCAAGCTACAATCCCTATCTTTACCTCCTCTGCCACTACCAGTTTAGGGAAAGTTTTCCAGGCGCATCCTCCAATTCCACTTGCTCCTCTACCTTCCTTCCCCATTCCTTCTCTCAAATTCAGAGGTGCCATTTTTCTCAGGATTCTTTGACTTGAACTTGTTCATGGTCTTCCTTCCTTTGTTCTATGACTGTACATAAACACAGCATTCTCCTTGCTCCAAGTTGCAGCTTTGACATGAACCCTTGGGTTCTGTGGGAAAACATGTATTTTCCATCTGTGGCACTTAAGTATAGGTTGGCTCTAACTTTTTTCAACAACTGGGAATGTTCCTTGTGTGGAAGTCATACTGCCAGCCAAAAGTGGGCAAGATTTCCCCCCTCTTCCCAGGCTCTCAGTACCAGCTTCCAGGGCATTCCCCAGCCCTCTAGAGCAGATCTGGGGAAAAGGGTACAGGAGATGGTGGAGTTCAACACATATTGCCATCTCTTCTATTCTGCTAGTGGGATCCCTACATTGATCATAAGCCCCCCTGTGAATGGAAGAACCTTTTTATCTTGCGAAGGAAGACCCTACACCCAACCCATTGACTTGTCCTGTGAAGATGATAAAGGAAACAGCCATGCAGTTTTATCTTCTAAAAAGACATCAAGGTGGTATACAGCACATATATAGTGGTTGCAATCCAGTTCAAAAGCCCACACATTTACAGAACCCAATGCAATCATACCGATGCGTTAGTAAAACTGTGCATAGAAATGAGATAATATCTCAGTTCTTATTACAGAGAAGTAGTCTTTCCATTCAAACATATTTTTCTCCAGCCAGCAGATCAGTTGTAGGAAAATGCATTTTCTCCCTAGATGGTACTTTAATTGCAGGAAAAAACTGTTTTCCTATCAGTCAGTCCACAGCATATTGCCAGGAAGATGTGACACTGCTCCAGAAAGTGCTAGTGAGTGGCTGCTGATGAATTGGCTAGTGCCCTTCTGCATTCAGCCTGAGAAGTTAGATTATACACAGAATAAATGTTGATCAACAAGAAGCTTTCTATGTTTCTGTCATGTTCCTACTAAGGAGCAATTGTTACATCTTCTTATATGCTGACGTGTGAATGGGAACCCACTCTTTTCTGTAATTGTGATTTTCCCCTTGATACTTGCAGGAAGACAGAGCTCTTGGTGAAGATGTCATTGCTGTGTCATCATTTTTGCTGAAACAACTTGTTACAGCTAGAAATACAATACAAGAGAACTAATGACAAAGAGTGGAATGAGAACTTTTTAATTAGTTACTGTTAACAGACTTCCTAAAGCAGTAGGAAAAGAGACTCTTTTCATCTGAGACAATTTCTCACCTGGCACTGACAGCGTTTAAAGCTTCTGTTACGAGATAGCTGAAGGTTGAAGTAAGGGAGAGAGAGGGATGTGGGAAAGTATAGCATAGCAAATGGCAGAAATCGTGGAAGGAAAGAAGGAAAGAAGTTTCAAGAGAGAGTGAGACACACACATGGAGCAAGGAATGCTAGAAATAAAAGACAATTAGAAAGCAAAAGAGAAGCCGAAGGTACAATGGGGAATTAGTTAGAAATGTTTGGCTAGATAAGAGGAAGTAAGAACAGAAAACTTTGCGGATTATAGTTTTTACTCCTGAACCTTTGTGAACTGCATAAAATGTAAATAAAATGAAAAGGAGACTTCTGTCAGACTACTAAAATTAATGTTTCCAAAGCTTTGCAGATTTGGAAGGTTTCCCAACTCAAACTACTAAACTTCAATCAGTTTTCAATATATGGATAACTACAGCACAAAGTAGGATATAGCTGCCTCTCCAGAAGGCAAGTTTTAACATTCTGTATAGTTTTGAAAAATGAGGCAGTTATATATTTATCCCACTGAAGAGTCACATATGTATAATCCTATACATATCTACACAGAAGTCCCTTTGAGTACGGTAAGAATAAGGACTCCATCTAATTTTCTCTCAGACTAAGAACAACAATTTACACTAATTTGTTCAGAAGGAAAAGTCATTGCTTTTGTTGGCAGACAATATCCAGCTCTGGTGCAGTATATCTATCTGGAAATATAGAAAACAGACTATTTTGTAGGCTAGTTAAAATGGGCAGCAGACCAAGTATATAAAGTAGATATACTTTTTGTTGCATTACAATTCCTGTGGAACACAAGGAAGTCTGAATTGGTTCTGCTGACCATGGCTTACATTACCAAGTTCCAGTTTTCAGTCCTGGGGGGAAAAATGCAATGGCACCTGGAGAGCATTTTGGTGGGGTGGGAGGCATTAGGATTCTTTGGATTCCCACATCTGAGGTCAGAAACCAAGCTTTAACCTCAGGGCTTGGGAGCTCTGCTTGGATCCCCCTTCCTCTTCTCCAACCAGTGTGGAAGGAATTGTGCCAGCTGCTTTTCCAAGGTTAGAATGGTGACATCAGAGAGGAGGTAAAGGGGGCATTCCAGGGATGGGCAGGGGAGGAGACTGGGGCCTCCGAGAGTCAGGGTATTCTAGTGGTTTTCCAACCTCCTTCTCCCCCCGCCCCACCATCTAAAATGCTTCAGCTAGATGGCCAAAAATTATGCTCTAGCTAATACGCAGAGCAGGGGAAAACAGAAGCGGAGATTTATCTCCTTGTCTTTCCCTGCTTTCCATTGTAGTGTATCAGCTTTGAGTTTAGACAGCATTCTGGGGAATGCTTGGAGTTACAGGGCATTTTGTCTATTTAAATATGCATAGGATATGCCTTTAGATCATTTTCATACATAACACTAAAAATACATTTGCACATCTCTCACAGATCATTCATATCCCTGTTGTTATTAATACAGAATAGAAAGAGAGTTGTCATTTTGAACTATTTTTTGTATTAAATGGGGCTTGCTGAAATCAGTTTGCAATGTTAATGTATGCTCATTAAGTCAACATGTTAAACATCCAGAAGAACAAGATGTTACTCCCTTCCATTCAACTGAAACAGCAGCTGAGTCTTGATTCAAAACTAATAATGGGACATCATTGTCTGTTGCACAGAAGGTGCCCTCCCCCATCTCAGGCTAGTTTAGGGGTTGCAGGAAAGGTGCATGGCATACAACTCTCTTCAACATCTCGCTGCCACATGTCAGCATCTGCTGCACTAAGAGACCCTTCACTTTCTCTTATAGCAAGGTCAGGCTTGTTACTCATGTTAACACCATTGCTAATGTAACAAGGTTCTCTCAAAATAAATTTCCTTGTCAATGTAAGTTGCATATCAGCATTATAAATGTGGGTAATTAATAAAGGGCACTTTTAGGGCTGTGATCTCCTACACAATCACCTGGAAGAAAGTCTCATTTAACTCAGTAGGACTAGTGTGTAAGTACATGGAACTGCACTTCAAAATAACTTCGTTTTCCCATTCTTCTGAATCACAAATGCATTCCGCATAATATTCATATGTGGCACAATAATTCAGGAGGGACTCAAGGGCACATAATCAGAAATAAGTCCTACTGTGTTCAGTGATGCTTTAATTTTGACTACAACCCAGTGCACATTCACTTCTGAGTAGGTCCAACTGAACTCAATTCAGACAGCACAATTACCTACACTCAAAGACTGAATATGGGTTGTTGTTGAACCACAGGTCATCATGCTGTCTGAACCCAGCTCTGCTAGTGACCCAACTCTGTTTAACCAGACAGCCGATGAAAAGAATCCATAGTCTATTGCTGGATTGTGAGTTGCTCACCATGATCTCAGCTGAGTTCAGATAACATGACAGCCCATAGTTCAACAGCAACCCATGGTTCAACGGCAACTCACATTCAACCCCGTCAGCAGGATCTCCTTCAAATGTTCATAGGCTGGGGTTAGTATCCATTGCCCACTTCCCTATGCTGAAGCTCAACAGAGAATTCTCCTTCTGAGCAAACCGCGCAGTGATGCAGCAGCGCACCTCCTATCAAGCCCTTACTGATGATAAAGAGAAACCATAAAGCAAGCAAGCAAGCAGAGAAACCCGCAAGGAGGATACGAATCCCGACTTGGCCGTTTGGCACTTTCCCACTTTTGGATAAGCCGAAGAAACAGCCCCGAGCAGCCCTTCCAGCGCCGGCCGGTCTCGTCC